CAGCAGGAAGAAAGCAATAGTGACTCTGGGCAGTCTACTCAACAAAATGGCCAAGACATGGCCAGTGACTTGAAGAGTTCAAGTGAATCTAGTCAAGACGATACTAATGAGTTAAGTGCTCCCAGCAGCTCCAGTGACTCAACAGATTCCAGTCATTCAAGCAACTCTAGTGATCCCAGGAATCCAAGCAACTCCAAGAAATCCGGTGAAAAAGACAGTACTTTGCCATAAGTCTAACAGTGACATCCCAAGATATTGAATACTGGTAGCAGAATCACAAAATAAAAAAGAAGGCACTAATCTTACACACAGGTGCCAGTGAGAGTAATTCATGTAATGCAGGTGATTAAAGCTAAATCGGTAAATGGCAGCAGCTGCAGCTGAAACCACAAGCCTCTAGCAGTATTTTAAAAGAAATACTGCTGAGCTCTAAAGGACTCCACGTGCCATATTGATTCACATATCACACACACCGTTTTCTTGAACATCAGCCATCCAAAATTGGGGTGCATGTCTTAAGCAAGGAAGCTTACTTCTACTCCAGAATAGCAGCAGGAAGCTGTGCTACACCCCACCTTAGCCAGGGCTGAACTGTCCGGGTTCCTGAAACAGGGGCAGAGTCCCATCACCCTGTCACTCCTCTCCCTGCTGCAAGGCCAACACAGCTACAGGTTTACCCCTCTTACAGCCCCTGCCAAACTGGCAGTAGCTGTCTTGGCCAAGCAGCAAGGGGGAGGGGGAGTGAGGCTGAGGACAGTATTGTACCCGTGCTTCATGCTCCTGGAGTGTTCTTCAGTCCTGGCTGAGTCCATATGGAGGCAGGGAAGACTCTGAGAAAATCTTTTTCTTCATTCTGCCTCCCCAAAACAAAGTGTGCATCTCATTCGCAGAGGTGTGGCATACAAATTAATATGATAATTTGTTTTGGTCACTGCATAATTTTGCCTGCATGAACAAGTTTTAACAATGCCTGGTTCTGAAACAAATGAATGAATATCTGCTTTTACCACTTGCCATCTGAGATTCAAATTCTGCTGTCTCTGGCAACCTCATTGACTTGGGTATTCCTTGGAGAAGATATTTCTTTCAAATCTTTTGTTTTTAGTTCAGGAGACTCCAAAATGTTTTGATGAAGCCATAGAACTTTTAGCCAACACTGCAGAGTCTCAGAATTTATTCAAGTATTTTTAAATTTCTTTAGAAAAGTATAATCTCTTAATCAACATTAAAATGATCATTGTTTAATAAGCTGAATGAATGACACTTCTTAGCACTCCTCTTTATAATTTTTGCCTATACGTCTTTCATATCCTCAGGTTATTTTTCAATTTATGCTTGCTGAAATGCAGCAATATTGTACTGCTTCCAAGTAATTTTCTGTTTAACAAAATATTTTGGCAGTTAGATCTTGGAGAAATGTTGGTTCAGTAGTATAACTAAAGGGGGCGAGTCGGGGATCAGCACCAGGCGGTAACTTGGGGGGGGGGGGGGGGGGGGAGGGCACAAAAAGAGCAGCTACCCCCACTGCTGTTGCCCTGTGCACGGCTGCTGCCCAGGGTGTAAGCTGCCCACTAGGCCTGTGTGAATAGGGAAGTATTCGATTCAGATTCAGTCAATTCGGAGGACAGCGATTCGATCAGCGATTCGAATCACTGTCCCCATTTGATTTGGCTGAATCAGAATTGGAGATTCTGGCCCCAGCCTCCTGGCACTTAAAAAAACCCCCAAAACCCAGCACTCACCGGCTGCAGCAACGGTGATTGGGGCCTCTGAGCACTCATGGCAGAGCCCCTCTGTGCAGCACAGGACAGTGGGGGGCAATGGGGATCACCCCCTATCCACCTGGTACCTGCACAGCAGCTGTCGCATTGTGTTGGCACATCCTGCGCCCGCATCCTGCCCCTCCCGCCCCAGCTGGGCAAGCGGCAGCAGGGCATAGCCCCTGCTTCAAGCGCTGCTGTGCCCACATCCCACCCCCCCACCACAGCCCCTCTCCCCTAGTAACATGCCCTTCCGCCCTGGCGGGGCAGCTTGTCCCAGCCCCAGCCCCAATCCCTCCCAACCCTAACAGATTTACCAGCTGGAAGCAGCTGTGTCAGCTGCCTGTTTAGCCTATGGCCAAATCTCCGAAGCAGCCAAATCTTTTTTGAAGCTTTTCTGAATTGATTCAAATGCTTCAAATCAATTCAGAGCTTTTAATTGGTCTCCTGATTCGATTCAGATTTGGAGATTCAGTCCCCAAATTGGGCCTAATCTCTTCTAAATCAAATCAGCTACCGATGCTTCGCATAGCCCTACTGCCCACCTATGCTTCTGTGTTTGCTCCTACTAAGATTTACACTGACTGAATAGATAGTTAGGTAAAAACACACATGCATATACACACAATATTGTTAGGTAAGAGAAACATCACACCTAGGCCTATTGATTCAGCAACCTCAGAAGTCCAGAACGCTTGTATTCAGAGACAGAGTCATCTTTAGAGGTGCTATACCTATTGAAATCATTAACAACTGGGGATGTTCTGGACCTCTCAAAATTGGGCTGGTTGTCCCTGCCTCAAAGATCTTCTGATTTAAGTATGTGTAGGCAGAACAGAAAGAGTGAAAGGGACAAGATTAGGAGGCTTCTCAGTTGCAAAATAGGCATAGCTTGGCAGTGCCCTTAACATTGCTTTGGTTATTGTAAAATAAATCATTTCATGTACTGGTAGTGCTGAGATGATATTGTGGCCATGATGACCCAGCAAATACACAAGAGGCAAGAATTCTTGTGGGTGATTATCTTCGGCATTTCAATGACTCAGAGAACCTGTGGTGTATGCAGAATGGTAGGGAACACTTTTTTGGGGGACTTAATGAGTAACTGCTTGCCAGCTTACAGGGCTTAATGCAAGAATTCCTGGTCTTAAATTCATGGCCTGTAGTATGCACAATATGAGACCAATGACCACACTGTTATATCTGGTCCTCAAAATCCAAGGAGTGATGATAATATACAAAGGTTGAGACCCTGTCCCAATAAATCTAATAATATGAGGAATGGGTAATGAGAAACCCATGTAAAGAATGAATGTAAAAACCATACGGAAAAGGTGGAATGTTCTGTAATACGTATTCAAAAGGCAAAGTGTAATAAACACATCACCCTCTCTGACATTCTTGAGTGCTTTTTTGTATTGTTTTTCTTGACTTATTTTTGGAATTATGGTTTCCTTTCAGAATAGCTCTAGGGTGTGGAAACAAGACAATATAATAAAGTTGAATGTATTAAGGCTTTCAAAATGACAACCACAGCCTTGAAACAGTAGAACAAAAATGTCTATTTTTATGGATTGTGTCATAAAAGTAATCATTAAAATTAAAATTCTACATAATTCTGTCAAACATTGCTAAAAAGAGACACCTGAGGCTCAGCTTTTGGAAGCTTAGCCAGTTACATGTCCCATATTATATCTTTGCTACAGCTAAGGATTCTAGGCACTTACTAGCCCATTTATAGCACTGGCAGCAATTTTTAGCCACCTTCTGGGACTGATCATTGAGACACACAGAGCAGCTGAATGCCGCTAAATAAAGCCTTGTGCCAATGGGTGTTGCTCTGGTCTCTAAGCAGCACCAGCATCTGAGTGTAGTGACCCCTTTGTGGTCCTTGTAAAACTAACAGGGCTGGTTTTGAAAAGCAATGATTTGCTAAGATTTTGTTTCATGTAGCAGCAACCCACAAAGTGTCATGTTCCTTTTTTGGGTGATATGAATGACAAGGCTGCAAAGAAATGGTTCATTTCCCCCCACCTTCCTCCCTAACATTCTCACTGAAATGTTTATTCAGCAAAAGACAATGTATTTATATATGAGAAAAGAGTAATGGAAAATACAGTGTAACTATATCTCCTGGCGCTGAGCATGCCCATAAATTATTTTTAAAATATCCTTTTCACTTTCTTATTGTTGTAATAGATTTTTCTTCTGGTTATAAACTTATATTTTCTATAAGAGTTGGATATATTGAGTTCTATAGACTTATTTTTAAAATGCAGTTTTCGATCAACTGGAACTATTTGCAAAAGTATACAAATAAACTGAAGAAAATGGAGGGAAAAATTGAGAAAATCAACATGGTTCATTTCAATATTTGTAGATGGAATGTTCACCTTTGAAATTAAGCTAAATATATGCCTTAAAAAATGAAAGAAGTCTCCCAAACCTAAAATTCAGTGGTTTACTGAATCTTAAACAGTTTTTTGCCTTATTTTTTAATCTTGTTTAATGAGCAAAAATCAGTTATTTGCACAGTTTTGGTTTTTTATTGTTAGGGTTAACCTTAAGGAATCAGACAGGGTTCCGTTGTGTGAGTTTGAAGAAGGGACAATGACATTTCCCTCTCGTTAGCACAGGATCTCTTCTAAGGTGAGATCTCCTAGATGCATCTGTGTATTTCTGTTTACTAGGTGATACTGGGGAAGAGGGAAGACATTTCAGACTAATTCAGTGTTGGCCTAATTTAGCTCCCAGTGAAATCAGTGGAAGCCATAGGCTGAATGAAATGGGACATGTGCTGCTATCTTCTGTGTGTTGTAATCTGCCCCTTCTCCACAGATCTCTGCTCTTTATTAGTGTCCCCCTAACACAGCCCTGTGGTCCTGCTCAGTAGGACTGAAGGACCAGGGCTCTATGATAACTCTACACTTTTTTTTTTACTTAAATGGAAAAAGACAACTCAACCCTGCACATATTAAAATTGTACCTGATGCTTTTAGGATGTACATTAACAAATGGTGGATAAAGTATTATCAAGTTGATCATCTATAAACATATTTAATGAGTAAAATCCTTCATAGACCTGAAATCATTCACAATACTACAGTTCATTTCAAAATAAGTCTTTTTTTTTTTTTGGTAAATTCATCACAAAACAACTCTAATTTTAGTTTATAGGTAAATTATTTATAAATATTAGGGGTGCATCAATAGAGAGTTTTTGCGCCCATACCAATGGCCAATTTTTAATGAGCCATAATGACTGATAATGTTCTGATTGCTGATATGCAGCCAGGCAGCTTGGAGATCAGCATCCGGCTGGTAAATCTGTAGTGAGGGAAGGGTGTGCAGGGGGTGCAGATTGAGGCTCCCACAATGAGGGAGAGAGTGGGTTGGACCTGGGGCAACAGCAGGCGCTGCAGAGCTGGGGCTGAGAGTGGGACAGAGTCATGAGTGGCTTGTCCAGGGGGATGCGGGGAGGGGATGGCAGCTCCCGCTGCTGCATGCACCCTGGGAGGGCTTGGAGGGCATCTGCCCCTGAATCTGCAAGCAGGGCGAGGGCAGGCTGCCACTGCAGGCTGGGGCCAGGGTGGTGATGGGCTCTTGCTGGTTGGTGGGGTTGGGCCAG